TCACTTTTGCAAACTTTTCTAAACTCCAATCCAACCACAATTCAGCTTATCTAATTTAACTTTTACCCAACTTCAATTTTCTATAAGCCAAATTAATAATAAACTACTTTTTCAATTGCTGATCCAAACGGATCCTAAGTTGCTTATTTGGCAGAGTGTTTAGGAAGGAATAAGCCATGATTCATAGTCTAAAAGCATGGTGATGGTTCAGCTCCTTGTTTGGCAGTAGCTTTTAAGCCAAAAGCTAATCTTAACAAGTAAAAGCCATAAGCCATTTTGAGTTGCTTATAAAGGAGAAAAGCTACTTTTTAACTGTGGGGAGATGAGAAAAGGACAATAAAAAAAGAAGAGAACAAAGTTTATGGGCGCCACTTATTTCAATAAAAAAAAATAATGCCACTATTCCTATTTATAAATCACATGTGCTCTAAATGTCACATCCTGAATTTTAGACCTAGAAGTACTAGAATTAGCCTAAAAGGGCAGACTACTAGACCTCTTTTGGTAGAGGGCTCAGAGGTTCCATGGAGGGGTAGAGGGATTGCTAGGGACTAAATCGTAAGTGGAAAGTTTGCTGGGACTAAGAAAAAAGAAAGCTAGAGACTCTAGTGAAGTCTCGAGACCCAAGAACGAGAAATAGAGATGAATGTAGGCCAAATGTTATATTAAAGGCCTCAAAGAGATGAATTATAGGCTAAGCCAAACTAGGGACAAAATCATAATTTTGCAAATTTCAAGCCGATAAGGGCAAAAATAAAAATTATGCCAAAATTTTTTAGAAAAATCCCAAAAAAATGGGAAATGCTATGTTAAGGCTTGTATGGATGTTTGGGGGTTCAATATAAGGAGTTGAGGTAACTAAAGGCTAAAGGTTGTGCTAGGAACCTCAGTAAGTGGATTCCTGTGACTAAACCCAAGCAGAGACCTAAAACACAAATTTTGCAAAGTTTTAGGCCGAAAAAGGCAGTGATGGAAAGTAGACCTAAATATTTTAAAAAATTCCAAAAAAGAAAGAATGAGATCCAGACGCCCATATAAAGCTAAAAATGATGAAAATACCTTTGAAAGGAATTTGTGGAATTCTTAGGGTTTTGGCTAATTTTGAATGTTAGCTAAAATTGAATTATTTAAAATACAGGGAGGCCTCAGATAATTGAACAAAAATGGGAGAAAAATACTTGAGATTTCGTCCCCAGAAAGTAAAGAGGTTGATTTTAATAGAATTTAAAACTTATTTATAAACTATCCGAGAAAAGTCAAAGTAAACTATCTAGAGGTTGACTTTTGACTTAAGAAAAATTAGAAAAATTCCCCGTGATGAATAAATAATATGGATACCTAGAGACAGATTCTTAGAGTTGTTGATCGGTAGAAAGAATTTGGTCAAGTTCACTCCTAAATAAATATTATTAATTATTTTAATGGAAGAACAAGAAAAGAGCATCACTTTCTCTTTAGGCATGTTATATAATGCTATGTGGACTTATTTGAGGTGAGAAAAGGATGCCAAAACATATTTCAGTGGTCCCGAGGAAGTCAAGACCCAAAAAAGTACCTGATACAGTGCAGAATGACAAAATAGGTGGAGGAATAACTAAATGTTGTATTTTGCACAAATTTTATATTAATTTTCCTCTCTATTTTAATGGCAAAATGATGAAGGGACATGGAAAAGACAAGTGTATGGTTAGATGGAAGAGACACGTGTACGATTGGATACAAGACACGTGTATGATTTGATGCAAGACACGTGTACAGTTGGATTAAAGACATGTGGTTTGATGATATAAGCATGATGAGGTAAGCATAATGTCATGAGAACACTTGTCACTATAAGACAAATAGGAAAAAAAAAATGAATGGCTAAGATTTAATCTTGCAATTTTAAGATCAATGGCTAGGATTTGTTTGCAAACTCTATATATACCCCTCCCCTCTCCTCATTTCATCCTAGGCCTATGGAAAACATGGGGAAACTCTTGTAAAATAAATTCTAGAGAGAGAAAGAAGAAGGAGAGAGAAAGGCCAAGTGATCTTATGTAAGATCAAGCTCTAAAACAAGGTATATTCACATTTTTTGATATAGTTTTCACTACCCTTATTGTTGTTGAGCTTGGTTATGAATTTTAATAGTTATTGGGAGCTTGAAACCCTAAAAGGACATATTGCACAAAATTTTTAAGTGTGATGAAAGATGAAATTGATGTTAGAATAATATTTAAAAACTTGAAAAGAACAAGAATCAAGTGATTTTACGTTGAAATTGGTTGAATTTCATGATTATGTAACTTAATAATATTTTGGCCGAAGCTGGTTCTTGGGACTAGAATTGTATTTTGATAATTTTGATGCTTCCAATGTGTTTAAAATAATAAATAGTGTGGGATAAAGGTGAGAAAACAAGTTTAGAAGCATTAGAACTGAAAATGAAACTTTTGGACCCCAAGTGCATACTATTCGGTCAAGGCTAGTTCATGAGGAAGGAGTTTGATTTTGATTATTTTGAGGTTGAAAATGTATTCTACATACAAAATTATGTGGTAATAGTATATGAAATTAATTTTAGAAAAGTTGAAAATCAAATTCAAAAGTTAGAAGTTAATATAGTTCACAAACAAATAAAGTGTTGATGTTGTTGATTACCATGGCTCTAATGAATAAATAGAAATGATGTGTTGATACATTTAAGACCATGAGACATCAAGAAAAAAGAATGGCAAAGGTTGAGCAACCAACCTTAATGGTTGGAAGCAAAAGAGAGCAAGAAGAAAACTTAAGGATACAAGGTAGTGAACTTACCTTTCTTGTGTGCTTGATGAGTATGCTTGTGTGTTGATATGCATTATGTGATTTGATGATGATATGTGATGTAAATGCAAGTATGATACTTTTTTTCTTTATGTTTCCCATGGCCATGCATGTTAACGTAAAACATTGAGCATGAGAATATGTTATATGTAAGTATAAGTTAGATCAAGTAAGCATGTCATACATTTACATCTATCTTGCATGGATAATAGTAATATTTGCTACTGAGATTCTCTTGAATCTCACTCTCTAACCAACTATAATAGGTGATAATAATCAAGTAAAGGATGCATGAAGTGGGAGCAAGGAAAGAAGAAAAGAATTGAGAAAATTTATTGGATTACATTGTATAATTTGCATGTTAATGCATGATATGACCATGCCATTAATGTTATGTGATGACAAATAATGATGATAGCATGTATAATTGACTATAATAATGTATGGGAATAGTTTATGAATTGATGGAATGATATTATGTAAGGAAAGAATTAATTGTGATTTATTAATACTAGTTAAAGGAATAAACTATCCGTAATTGAGCAACAAAATTGAGACAGAGTGGAAGTGAAGCAAAGGATTGATTCTGCCCATAAAATTTGGTATGGTTAAAGTACACATCCTAAGCTTTAAAACAAGTGGTAGATCATCTAAAATGGATATGTGCACTAAGAGTTATACTTGATCAAAGTTAGGGCAAAGAAATTGTAATGTACAGTTTTGACCAAATAAACAGTAAATTTCAACGAATAAACTATATGAATTGGCAAGGTTTAAGTTCAGTTTTATTTTTTTTTTCTTGTAGAGAATTGAAAGAGCTTCAAATATAATTTTGAACCACCTCACTACGATTTTTCTATAATTAGATATGATTTTTCAAAGTTGGACTGAAAATTTAAAATTTAACCAGTGAATAGTAATCCAAAAACCAATTATAAATTTTCAATACACGGGCTAGCTTTGTAATCACTTGAATCATAATATTTCCAAATACGTACTCTGAGAAGTTAAAGGAAGGTTGTTTCACTAAACCCACAAATCGAGAAAATACTTTAAATTGGTAAAAAAATTTTACATATGCCCTAATTAAAGAAAGGATATTAAAAATGTATTTTATATTTTATCTTACCTATTTACTTTATTTTTCTCTCTGTATTTATTAAGTCCACAGGAGTAAAATTGAAAAAAAGCTTATTAATTATATTACAAGTGACTTCTTGTATTTAAGGACAAATTTTTTCCCTACAAGTAACTTATAAATAGGAATAGAGTGATAACTTGATGCTTGCAAAAGTGTTTTGAGAAGAAACATTATATTATGTAAATTGATAATTTTTTTCATTTTATATTGTGTAATAAAAGTCATACTTATTTTGATAATTTTACAAACTAAACTTGCTTATTTAGTCATAATCCAAATAACGTTTACTTTTACCCAATCTAACTTTTCTAAAAACTAATCCAAACATAAATTATATTATCCAATTTAACCTGGCAAAATTGAAAATAGGCTACTCTTTCTACCGCATCCAAATGGGTACTAAGGAGATTGAACAGGAGCTAAAAGCAAGGAGCATAGGAAAAAAAAGAGAATTTATAGGAAAGAGGATTTAGGGATAGGGTTTGTTTTTTATTTGACTATAAAAATAACATAAAAATATTTTTAAAAATAAAAATAGTAACTGTAACAATATTTTTGTCACACACATATTTTTTATTACTTATTTTATTATTTATTAGATTTTTAAAAATAATAATTTATTATTTTTTAACACCCTTCCTAAATTATTTTATTTTTTAATTTTATATCCTAAGCCACAATTGTCACTTAATTCCAAAATAAATAAATTAAGGATGTTACACATGCAATATGGTAATTAGCGTAACTATTTTGTTACATATGTGAATCTAAAGAAAATCAAAACAAACTATCTTACTGACATTAATATAAATAGAAAGAGACGTATATGAGCATAATAATATTTTATGACGCTCATAATAAACAAATTTGTGGTATTATTTTATTTTTAAATTTTTTATTTTGTATTTTATGACAACTTATATGTCCCATGATCAATACAAGAAAAATTGATCAATGATTAGCAAATTAATTTGTTTGATGAACTAGTTTTTTTGCCCCCTCGTCCCTGTAGAGCATTGATAAACGTTGAAGTGTGGGGAGGGAGGACCGAACAAGAGCTAAGGTATTGGAGTGTTGGGAAGTAGAGAAAAATGAAATAAAACGCTGTGCCCGCGGAGACAATCTGAGTCCGGCCCCCCCGTAGCCGCGTTCTTCAACCCAACGTCGTCTTCTTCTGCTTCGGCGTCCAGCGCGACCCTCGTCTCCTTCATTTCCGGCGTCTTCTTGAAAGATAGGCCTGTGATTTGTTTTTTTTGTTTAGCAGTTTGGTTTTGTTTTTTATTTTCAGATTCAACCCTCGGCCTTGAAAAATTGTACTGTATTTGTGTTGTGAGATTAATTTTTGCTTAAACCTGGATAACCCTACAATCCGAACTTGAAGCAAGTAGGAGCGATCTAAAAGGGGGTCAAGATGAGGATTATGATAAAGGGTGGTGTTTGGAAAAACACCGAGGATGAAATCCTCAAAGCGGCTGTCATGAAATATGGTAAAAACCAGTGGGCTCGAATCTCTTCGCTTCTGGTTCGCAAATCCGCCAAGCAATGTAAGGCTCGGTGGTACGAGTGGCTTGATCCTTCAATTAAAAAGGTGCCCTTCTTATCGATTATATTTTAAGCATGGTGTCCTGTTCCTTTTATCCTTTGGCCGTTAGCATGTCGGGGCAAGTGTGAGGACAGTAATTGTGCTGCGGCAACTTCGCTGGGACGTTCTATTTTGGTTGACGGAGAACTGATGAGTGTTTGGTTGTATGTCAACCACCCAAGGTTTCTGGTGTTTGCATCCCTACAATTACATATGAAATTGTTGGCGACGTTGAGTGTTTCTTGATTTTTCTTGTTCTGGGTGCTAAACATTGTTTTGTATGTGATTTAAGCTTTTGATCCTTTTCAGGTTTAATTATTATTGTGATTTTAAAACTAATATATATTGATATGATGTCTCACTTATGAAAATTAATGCTGATAAGTAGGTACCTTACCTGTAATGATGCTTTGAACTTTGAATGACACTGATTCCGGAAGAGTATACATTTTGATTCCACTCTATGCTTTGAAGTGACCCGGGTCCAAATGGATAGTACTGAACCTAAACCATGTTGTTAGCTGATTGCTTTCGGTCTTGTGCTTTTTGGTTTTTTTTTAAGTAGGGGAAGTGGACATACAATTATCATCGGATCATGTGATAAGGTTATAACAACTGGAAATTTAACTTCAAAGGACAATTGGGAATTATTAGGCTATTTTATTTGTGCTTTTTCTCCTTTCAGTTATGGATGTTACTGATATGTTTCTTTGAGCTAGAAACAATTGGGAATTTAGTATAAATGTTATTATTTGACACTTCTTTTCAAGTGTGTTTTTCTTCAAGAAGTGCAATATTTCTGCCCTTTTTCGAGCAATCAATTTGATGTTACCTTTCCCCTTTTATTTTTTATTTTATGGTGCTTTTACGCTATGATATTGTGTTGGTTCTAACATTAAAACTTTGTTATGTTTGTGTGCTCATCGTAGACTGAATGGACACGAGAAGAGGATGAAAAGCTTCTTCATCTTGCTAAGCTTATGCCCACACAGTGGCGAACAATTGCTCCAATTGTAGGCCGCACCCCTTCCCAGTGCCTTGAACGGTATGAGAAACTCCTTGATGCAGCCTGTGTCAAGGATGAGAACTATGAACCTGGTGATGACCCACGAAAATTGCGACCTGGTGAGATTGACCCAAACCCTGAGTCAAAGCCTGCACGGCCAGATCCTGTTGATATGGATGAGGATGAGAAGGAAATGTTGTCTGAAGCACGAGCTAGGTTAGCCAACACAAAGGGTAAGAAGGCAAAACGAAAAGCTAGGGAGAAACAACTAGAAGAAGCCAGGAGGCTTGCCTCTTTACAAAAAAAGAGAGAATTGAAGGCTGCTGGAATTGATATCAGGCAGCGGAGGAGGAAAAGGAAAGGAATAGACTACAATGCAGAAATCCCATTTGAGAAAAGGCCACCTCCAGGTTTTTTTGATGTTACTGATGAAAACAGAGCAGTGGAGCAGCCTAAGTTCCCTACCACAATTGAAGAACTTGAGGGAAAACGAAGGGTGGATGTGGAAGCACAGTTAAGAAAGCAAGACATTGCGAAGAATAAGATTGCACAAAGGCAAGATGCCCCCTCTGCTATACTGCATGCCAACAAGCTCAATGACCCAGAAACAGTTAGAAAAAGGTCAAAACTGATGCTTCCACCACCCCAAATTTCTGATCATGAATTAGAAGAAATTGCAAAGATGGGTAGTGCTAGTGACCTTGTGGGGAGTGAGGAAATTGCTGAAGGTAGTGGTGCAACACATGCTCTTCTGGCTAATTATGCTCAAACGCCTGGCCAGGGAGTGACTCCTTTGCGAACTCCTCAGAGAACACCAGCTGGTAAAGGAGATGCTATCATGATGGAAGCTGAAAATCTGGCAAGGTTGAGGGAGTCTCAGACACCGTTGTTGGGAGGAGATAATCCAGAGTTGCATCCTTCAGACTTTTCTGGGGTCACTCCTAAGAAAAAAGAAATTCAGACTCCAAATCCTATGTTGACCCCCTCTGCAACGCCTGGAGGTGCAGGTGTCACTCCTAGAAGTGGTATGACACCAGCAAGGGATGGCTTTTCTTTTGGCATGACTCCAAAGGGAACTCCTCTTAGGGATGAGCTTCGTATCAATGAAGACATGGATATGAATGAGAGCACCAAACTTGAGCTACGTAGACAAGCTGATCTCAAAAGAAGCTTGCGCTCTGGTTTAAGCAGTCTTCCACAGCCAAAAAATGAGTACCAGATAGTTATGCAACCAACTCCAGAAGATGTTGAAGAACCTGAGGAAAAGATTGAAGAGGATATGTCTGACAGAGTTGCTCGAGAAAAAGCTGAAGAAGAAGCTCGGCAACAAGCATTACTTAGAAAACGATCAAAGGTTCTTCAGAGGGAGCTTCCTAGACCTCCTGCTGCATCTTTGGAACTGATAAGAAATTCTTTGATTATTGCTGATGGAGATAAGAGTTCGTTTGTTCCTCCTACTTCTATTGAGCAAGCTGATGAGACGATAAGGAAGGAGCTTCTAAGCTTACTGGAACATGACAATGCCAAGTACCCACTTGATGAGAAAGTTAATAAGGACAGAAAAAAAGGAGTCAAGCGTGCTGCAAATGGGGCTGCTGTTGTCCCTCTGATTGAAGATTTTGAGGAAGATGAAATTAAAGATGTATGTATTTACATGGCTTTTTGCTGCTTGTTTACATTGTTTAATTGAATGCTCTAAACTTGGTGGTCCTCCATGTTTTGGAGCAGAACCAACTTTGCTCTCCCTTTCCCTTGCAGAGAACACATATCACTCCCTTTTGACGTAGTCCTGACTCTTGAGCACTAAAATTACCTCATCAGTGCGTTAGGTTTTTTTTTTCTCCCTTTTTTTTCCCTTTCCTTTTTCAACACTCTGTCTACACCCTATTCAAGAAACTACTCAAAAAAGCATCTTGACATAATAATAAGATAGAAAGATATATGTCTGTCTTGCTATTGTTTTTTTAAGAGAATATTTTATCCTTCTGCTCTATACTTCGTTCCTTTGTTGATGAAAGGTTTTACTATTTTTTTCTGTTAAAAAGGAATTTTGACCCATTTTGAGTAGCTAAGGGTTTTATTCAATTTCCCTTTTACTCCCCCCCCCCTTTTGGGAAAAATGGGGGTTCCTATAAAATCTGTTGGAGATATAATTATATTTTAGGAAAACCATGTTTAAATTGCCTCCTATTTATGTGTCAAATATTGCAGGCTGATCAGTTGATCAAGGAGGAGGCTCAGTACCTTCGTGTAGCAATGGGACATGAAAGTGAGCCCCTTGATGAATTTGTTGAAGCACATAGAACTTGCCTTAATGATCTAATGTACTTCCCTACTCGTAATGCCTATGGGCTGTCAAGTGTTGCTGGAAACATGGAGAAGCTTGCAGCTTTGCAGAATGAATTTGAGAATGTCAGAAAAAAGTTGGATGATGGCAAGGAGAAGGCGGTACGCGTTGAGAAGAAGGTGATGGTTCTTACACAAGGTTATGAGGTATGTAATTGTTGTCTTTTATGCTAGCAATATTTCTCTTTCATGTAGCATCGCCTTTCCCCTTTTTTTTTTTTCCCGTTAGGTTAATGGCACTACTAATTCTTGTGTGGTTTGTTGGATTTCAGTGGTTTCTTAAGTTCAAGAGTTGATCTACATTAGTATCATTCAGATTTGTGATGCATTCTGTTAGAGGGTCTTATTTAAAGTTCGATTTTCTAAGCGTTAGGCATTTGCAGAAATTGTGCATTAATCCCCCCCGGGGTGTCCCCGGGGGGTAATTAAAGGTCAACTTTTAAAGCTTAATACTAGAAAGGAATGGAAATAAAAACATATTTGAGTGAATAAAAAAATCACTCAAGCTTAGGAAATAGTGCTCAGTTTGTGTAGAATGCTTGTTATCTAGAACATTGTCCTTTCAAAGGTAGTTTGGTCTTTAAAATTACCAGTCTCCTCTTCAGGGGACTAAAATGTTTCTGTGGCATAGTGATAATGATAGGGTGATTATAGAAAGAAAGGTGAAAGAGAAGAGTAGGGAGTGAATAGCGAGAGAAATTGGAATTATACTAATGATTGCCCTTATTTGTTATGCGAAATCCTAATCTTAAATGTCTAATCCAAATCCCTATATCTAATCCCAACCCTAATTAAATACATTTAGTTATAATATAATGACTTAACTATGCTAACTACTTATTTTCAAATATCATCAATACTCCCTCCTCAAGAGACCCTTGTACTCAAAGGCGAGTACACAAAGAACGGTACTAAACCAAGCCAGAGTCGATAAGCATTTTGAATAATTCCCCTTTGAACCAAATCTGGACCAAAAACCTTGTAGGGAAGCATTGAGCATGAGAACTTGATGAATAAATATATTTGGAGGCTTGTTAAAAATAAACCATCGGAGCAACTGCTTTGGGCCCTTTTCTTTGAAGACGAAGCCCATATACCCAAAACCCATGAACCCATTCTCTTTTCTGCTTGTTGCCAGCTTTAAGTTTAACCCTTCAGATTGTAGCTACGTGATTTTCTGAGAAACTGGTTTCATCCTTCTTGAAGCACATACATAACCTATATTCCTCTGGTTCTATTTATAGGGAATTTCCACTATGTTTCATACAAACCAAGAAAAAGCTTAAACTGTATTAATTTTCTTTTAAAATATAACAACTTTCTAACGTTACCCTTGTTTAATATATACACATTAAAAAAAAAAAAAATTCATGCTAAAGTTTAAATGAGGTGACTTATAAATAGAACTAAAAAAATCTTCTCTTTCTTCCTTATAAATAGGCCAGATGAAATACTTTGCGAAAGCCTTTGGCCAGCCAATCTACCAGAACGACAAATATCAAAATAGAGGGAGCATGAGCAAGTGAGAGGTTGAAATTGGAAAGAAGGAAAAAGAATGGAAGAGAAGAACAGAGAGTGAATCGAAAGAATAACTAAAATTATACTAAATGATTCAGGAATTCAAAACGCAAGGGAATAAGTCGGATGATTACCCTTATTTATGAGTAATCCTACACTTAATTAAATATCTAATCCAAATCCTAATGGCTAACCTCAACTCTAATTAAATACTTTCAATTATGATAAAATGACTTGACTACTCCAACAACTTATTCCCAAATCACATGTGGTTTTGTACAATAGATGTGCAGCTGTGACTAATTTGTTTTATGGTCCCATTACTTGTTCCTTCTAGTGAAATTATTGTTATAATGCCTTTCATAATGACTTTCAGTTAAGCTTCTTTGGCTAATGCATTTTTCAGATGAGGGTGAAGATTGTCTTTGGCCCCTATGTCTCGTGGATCTTATCTATATATCACCTGTGATTATTGACTGTTTATAATCATATACTTGGCTATTGGAATTTTCAGATGAGGGCAAAGAAAAGTCTTTGGCCACAAATCGAAGCCACGTTCAAGCAGATGGACACTGCTGCTACAGAACTAGAGTGCTTCCAAGTTTTGCAAAAGCAGGAGCAGCTAGCTGCATCGCATCGCATAAACAATATATGGGCTGAAGTAGGAAAGCAAAAGGAACTCGAGAAAATCTTACAAAAGAGATATGGGGATCTTCTGGCAGAAGTGGAAAGGATTCAAAACATTATGAACCAATACAGGGCGCAAGAAGAAGTTGCTGCTAAGAAGCATTCTCTTGAGTCAGCTGAGGCTGCATCTGATGATACGAGCATGCAGGGTGTAGAGAATCATGAAAGTGTATCCCACCCAGATGAGCATGGAAATGCTATGTTAGTTAATTCAACACATGATGAAACTTCAGGACAGCAAGTAGACCCGGTACAAGCTGAGGCATCATCAGGCCCCAAAAATGATATGGATGCAGATGGTGAAAAAGAGCAAATGACACACAACACTGATGTCAAACTCCAAGACGCGACACCCATTGCAGAGGAGGGGCTCAGTGCAACAGTTGTACCAGGAAAGAGCACCGATGATAGTTGTATTGTCCATTCGGAGTCCACTCTAGACACGGATGCTTCAAAGGACTCAAGTATTGAGAGATGTAGGGAGGATCAAGATTTGAAGAATCCAGATAATGTGGCCATAGACTCGCATGATGACAGAATACCCGAATCCACTGATCTGAGTTAGGGTGAACATGAAGCAAAGTTGCTTGGCGGGAAGGTCAGTTAAGATTGCCGCTGTTTTGGAAATTTCTGATGTTGAAGTTGCTTTATGCCAACTCTCATGAGGTATTAATTGAGCAATTTTCTAGGATTGTTAGGCCTGGTCCTTTGGCAGGGTATCTCCACTAAATATAGATTGATGCCCGGATATTTTAATATGGACAATATGACGTTTGTAACTTAGCTTCCAAACGTGAACTTTGTGAGCGTTTTTGAGACGGTAACTGGTGATTTCTCTCAAATTTTGAGAACTGAACTACATTTGAGTCCGCCTGCGTGCTTCAAATTTTTTAACATTGAGTTTTCGGAGAGATTTTGGGGGAAGTGAGGGTATGGAGTTACTTATTTTCTCCCTCACTTTTCCTTCCTCCCATCTTTTCTCCTGTCTAAATGAGAAAAAAATTATTTATCCTCTTATTTTCTTTCCTAATTTTCCTTTCTCTCTCGTTTCTCTCGTGCAAACAAAGCAGTCTGCAGTCTGGTGAAGGCAGCCATCGTATTGCTAATCGTTCTCTTTTCTAAGTTTGTGTTGAAAACACCTAATAGGCTCTCGTGTTTTTTTTCCCTATGAAATCTCAAATAAAATAAATAATTACTTAAAAATCTTAATAGCAACACAATAACTTGCGATGACAAATTTCAGTCTACTTACATGTTGGACTTGGTGGTAATTTTTTTTTTTTTTTAGACCTCATTGTAGTTTTTTTTCCTAAAAGATTGAAAATTAAATTAACACGCCTTTGTACATTGTGGTATTTTTATTTTTTCCCGCGACTTGGAAAAAAAAATATTAGAGTGACGTTTTATAATTGTAAAATAAGTTCTGACTGGCATAATCAATAATTCAATACGGATAATACAAAGATTCACATCATCCTTCAACATAATCTAAAATGCAAGTCCCATCAAATATCAATTAGCTCTCCAGAAGACAAAATTATATCAGTTTACTATTGAAATGTTTAATTTTATTTCAAATTCACCCTTTTTGAAGTATAGCAAATATTTTCCAGGTAAAAAAAAAAAAAGAGTAAAAGTAGAGCAAATATTTTATGCGATTGAAAAATGAAAACTAATGGAAAAGGATCTCCAAGAAAATCAATTGATTTCTTTTAACAGCTCCAGGAAAGTCAATTGATACAAGAGTTATTTTGTGAGGACTAAAAGAGATTTTGCTCCATTTCAATTCTGTTGTCTGGAAAAATTACAGCTGGTGCACAAAGAAACTTGCATGCTGTTTTACCCACAGAATTCAGATAGCCCAGAGAAACGCAAGAGGACATGGCCCTCAAACTATAAAGATGAAGTTTTCCAAAAGTCCAATGGCTTCCTTTGCTGAAATTAGTACAAGAATATAAGTCAGGAATCTAATACAACAGAAATTCAATTACGCATGCAAATGCAATCACAACAGCACGTGAGTACAAAGAGGAGGCTGTAAGGTGCAGGAACATGATATAAGCAACTGGAACCAAAAAGTATTAGGCTTTATCAAATATCTATTTTTTCACTAACTACTCAAAAGGTTGATTTTATTCGATCTTTCCAAAGATCATAATGTTGATTTTGGAGGAGTATACATCCTATGTGGTTGCAAAAAAATAATAATAATAATAAATAAATAAAGCACTTTTCACGTGTAAAGTGAAATAGAACATTTTCACGGGAGTTAGCTTATATTTGGAACTTTGAATCATCTCAAGACTAAACAATTGAGAGTCCCTGACCATAGACACTCGTTGCTTGAGCCATCCTAAGACTAAACAACAGTTGAGAGTCCCTGAACGCTCATTGGTTATGGATTCATGAGCGGAAGATCTTCTATTGCTACTCAGCTAATAATGCAAAAATTAACGTATAAATTATGCTCTCCAGAGTTTTAAAGTTCCAATCAACATCAAATGTATGGCCCTACTAAACGCTAATAAATTCAAGGGTACATGATGTTAGTACAGGTCAGGAATGCAGAATTTCCCATGAATTACATTAGAAATCAACCCCACAAATAGAGAAAAACAGAAAGAAACAGAAAAAAGTTCCAAGCACTTTCAGGGGCTAAACTTCCCAGATGAATTACCATATTTTCTAATTACATCCTGCTCTGCTCTCATCTCCTATTTACCTCCAATAGTCTAACCAATCATCTTCTAGAAGTTTCCTCGTAAGCCTCCACATGTCCAACACTAACCACCGCATTTCCCAGACACTTGTACGATCAACTCCTTCGATGATACCCATCAACCACCCTATAATTCACAGTTGGGGGATCTAATGCCACAAATTGACCACAATTTAAGCGAAAGTCAGCCCTGTGAGCAGGCCTGACAGAAAGGCATTTTCGTTAAAGGTTGGAATCTTGCTTTGAAGGTTGATATTAATGTAACGATTCAGACCCCAATTCTTTCTTTTTCTTTTTTTTCTTTTGCCCCCTAAACCCTTTTCATTTCATATGTATGCATCTCAAAGATTCTGGCCCAATTCGTGAATGCCATGTCTTTTGCTTTCAGTTATTTTTTACAGCAAAATTCAGGAATTTGTTTCATTAAATTTTTTTTAATTGTTGATTTTAGTGCCTTTACAAAAAGCATCAAAGGAGTTACTTCACCAAATAGCCGCAATTGTCATAGCTTTAAAAAGACTAAAACGAACTTTCTATTTAATTAAACTGCAAGGTATATCCTTATTGAATTCATATTAAGTTTTTTATGCTAACTATACATATTTTACATTCCAGTTATAACTAGAAATTGCTATCATGCTTTCACTAGTACCATCACCAAGACACAATTAAGTAAACAAGTCTCAAATGTTCTTCTATTCTTGTTGGGAAAATGTACTATTCTAATTTACTTTCTATTTGACTTTTTATATCCCAAAATTATAGGTCATGAATGATATGACTGCTTCTAAATTGTTCAGCCTGCAAATAAATTTCTCTTGGGTACAAGGCATACTAGTACCATTTAAATGTTTCTTACAACAACTAAAAACACCATATTGAACAATTCTGCTTCTCAAAGTTGTTTTCAGAAGATTTTAACTAGACATCATTTTTTTTTTTCTCCTAATTTGGTTTAGGTCACATTTTTCACTGCACCCATAACAGCTGTCAAAAAGCCAATAAATTCCCAAATGGATCCTTCGGGTTTAAAACATAGCATAAATATACACAGATGGACCACCAGTTTGCATTTCTTACACGTTTTAATACAAGTCCCCAATACGACAGAAGTTACCTTAGCAAGGGGCATCTTTTCCCTGACAGAATCAACTAATGATAAATCAATATCAGCTATAGCAATCCCTGTAGACAAGCGATCTGAAACAGAAAAACTAGAATGAGCCAGAAAAACTAAGATTTAAATAACTGGTAGATCTAACCAGCAAAACAATAAAAATAACCAAATGACTCGTTGAAACTTAAAAGAAAAGCATTCATCAACCAAAGTAAAAATGCAATGTTAGTGTAGGAAAGCAATGCACTCAATACCATCAAGAAAGCCAATTTGAAAAAAAAAAAAAAAGGAAAAAAAAAAAAGAAGACACAGGCAAGTGTTCTCTAAGAAAGAAGCAACTTGAACCTAAATTACATGTCTTGTCTCCTAGAAATATCTCATTCCCTCCCTTTGTTTGATCTTGTATGAATTGCTACATATGGTCAACTCCACAAATCTAACATAAAAGTTGGGCACTAACTGAAGTTGAATGCGCAAAAGAGTGAGAAGTGGTCTCGTAAACAGCATTGAAAATTTGATCATAGGATTAGAACTGAGCAAGGAAAATGAATTCAGAACTGACTTTTCCAACCCACAATTGTAGCTTTTGCAAGAATATCAGTTAGAAAGAGAAGTCTAACAGGTATTAAACATATTATATAACATACCAAAAAAGCCTGTGCTCCATATTCTACTTTCAATGAAGAATCAATCAAGTTGGAATCATACGCATGCAACAGGAAGGAGATTTTTACCAGGTAATCGACCAACAATGGCTCCCCATGGGTCAATAATTAATGTATCACCATAACTTTCTCTTTTATCATTATGTTTCCCAGCTTGTGCAGCAGCTATGACCTGATAATTCAAACAGCCACTTCCAAACGTGTTAATGAATAGTGAATAACTAGGTCAAACAATATGAACAGATAATATTCGTGATGATTGCTGCCCTCACTGATAAGCCGATTCTAAAGTCACCAGTCTTACCAAGTCAATCTATAAAAGGTAGAGAAAATTAATTTCATAAATTATAATCATTTTATTAAAGAATTTTGTAGTTGTTTATTCCACTCAGCATGTCCCTAAATAATTAAAGATGTTATCATCCTATAAGAGGCAAGAGAATAATAAAATAATACTCCTCCGGTTCTTAATATAGAATCCAATTATTGAGTTGGTTTTTCCTAAATATAAGACTCATTTCTCATATTTATCAATTTTCTCTAAATTACCCCTCTGGATACTTCATCAACCATAATCAAGTAGAAGAGGAAGAGGGGGTATTAAGAAAGATGATTATGGTATTTTAGAAAAAATGTGTCATATTTCTTATAATTAACTAACTTACCTAACTTCCTTAATCTAATCAAATTACTTAAATGGTTCTTATATTATGGACCGGAGGAGTAGTAAAACATTAAGTAATCCATTAAAAATCCAAAATTACTTTCAAAAATTAAAGGGTCCATGACACCAGCATTAGATATTTCCACAATACCACTACTTCTTTTATATTCCTTGTATCTTAGAGACTAGTTAAAAGAAATTTAGCCATCTAACAATCAGCTGGTTCACTAATTAGTAGGATGTTGGCGGTTTAGCATTAAATTGCATCTAACAACAATATATACGTCTGTGGAATACTAACTCTCAAGTTCAGCATTAAAACCCGGATGAATTTATAATGGATTTCCAATTTAATTCCACAACATTAAGTTCTTCATTCCTCACATATGAAATTACGATGTTCATATTTTCCAAAGCAATGAACTGTAATCTCCACTGCCATGTAAACTTTTTTTCAAATCATATTTACCCATCACTTGAGATCTGTAGTCCAACTGGTGTGGTATCACACATTACTGAGACTAAACTAATAGTGAAGCCATTGAATTTTTCCAAATCCATAATCACTTTATATATGTCAACAATTAGTATGTTTTCGTATGGGAATCAATTCACATAGGCGGACAAGAAGGCAGCCTTCTTAAAGAATTTAATGTTATCTAAGCAGTGGAATCTGATCACACAGCACCTATGAGATGAGGAAACTAGGGTAAGAAAGAGAAAGGAAAATGTCTTCAGATGTAAAATTAATTTCTCACATAGCATTGAGTTTCAATTGCACGAGCACGAAGAAGAATCTCCCAATGTGCTTGACCAGTTTCTTTAGTGAAAGCTGAAGGCACCAATAGCACCTGAAGTAATCAAATTTTAGACGTCAAACAACCCATTTCAATCATAAAGGAAACGATAATAAAGTAATACCTGTGCTTCATGCTGGAAACGCAATAACTGATAAAGCTCGGGGAATCTCAAATCATAGCAAACAGTGAGACCCAAACGACCAATGGGACTGTCTACTGCAACAATATCCTTTCCTGAAAGCATCAGGATAGAATATTTTCACCATGAAACATTTAGAACATTATAATACTTGGTTTCTCTGTCAAGCCAACAAACACCAAACCCACAAAATACATGGAAATGCTAGTTGTTTTAAGTTCTCCATTTGTGGTTGCACAACCACGTCAATGACCATTCTTTACCTGGATGTTTAGGTTTGCAAGTCTGAATATGTTTTTCTTCATTTTAATAAGGGTTTGTTTGCAACAGATTGGAGTTCGAATAATCTCTAGCTTCAAGGGATGTGTTAGAATAGTCTAAGAATGTGATGAAAAGATTAAAATGTGTATTGATTACTAGTGAACAAGGCTTGTATCAATTGGATTCAAATTGACCTAACTTATGATAATCAATACAGAGATCCTGGCCTAGTATGTAAGGATCCCGTTCAAATAATACTTCATTCGTCAGCTAAAAGCAGCCATAACATTAAAAGATCATTTTATTTATTTATTAATTTTCGCTTGAAAAGCTATCATAAAACAAGAGAAGTTCCAGTAAGGATCAAACCAAGAAAATAAATCATCTAGTTCTAGTTTAATACCTTGTAAAGAGTTGATATCCTACCTGCCTCTGTAAATTTACTTTCTTTATATACCCTTCCACCAGGAACATCAACATCAAACCTTAAAATAAAACAAAATGAATGTTAATACACCTTTAGTAAGACATACAAAAAGATTTAATATTTCAGTTGAAAAGTTTAGTACATTGAGGGAAGGACTCAAATAATTCAATAGGCTCTAAGATGGACAGAGTAAATTTTTAAATGCCACGACATTATATTCCTATAGTTTATTTTCTTGGCATTTACTTTTAAAAAGAGTGAGGGTAATGGTCTAGTGGTAAAGAAAGCATTTGGTCAGTATCATGTTTAGAGTTAAGGTGCAAATTTGTCCTAAAGTTTTTACTCAAGAACGTTGGGCACCTGAAAGTTTTTGAGTGCAAATTTGCCTTAAAAGTCAAAAATCATAGCAATGTTACCCCCAACTGTTAAAAACTTTAACAATCAGTGTTACTATTTTAATGGTCAACAATAGTTTTTTAATGGTTTGAGGCAAAATTGCTACAATTTTAAAGTTCTGAGACAGATTTGCACCCAGAAAAATTTCAAGTGTCCAACACTCCTAAGTGGAAATTCCCGTAGCAAATTTGCTCCTTAACCCTTATGTTTATTTAAGTGGCAGGCAAAAATTGTTGACAATTACATCATTTTTTTTTCCTCTCACTATTTGGAGGATCCTACACCCTTCGAGAGAAAGATTTACCTAGGACAAAAATCATTCATCTCCCATATATAGCATTACGAACTCTACTCCCCTAAAAAATACATGTACAAAGGCCCCGCACTGTTAGCTTTATGTCACATTTATTTATAAATTACATGTAACTCACTCTCTAGTCAACATCCAATGCAACATTAACCCTTTCTATCATCTTTCACCATCTTAATTTTCTTTGAGCAATTTTATAGAGAGCTGGGCCTCTCAAATATTAGGTGCCTTAGCCATTAGATCTACTTGAGTGTAAATGTAATGGCTAAAATATTCAATATCTAGATACACTAAGCTCCCAATCAAATGACCCTTTACTTTCTAAATACAAGACTGACTCTCACACACATCATCACTTACATTTTCTGCATACATAGAAACATCTTAGGACACTCTCTATTCTTCCTCCCAATTGCCCTCTAAACATCTCCTCCTTACTCCAAAGCACTTGGTTGATAAACTAAGGTTTGTAATAAAAGAAATAATGTAGGATGTAATGTTTTGGTTTCTCTCAAAGTGGCAATCTAACCAGTTTGGTTTCTCAGATTTAAACATGTAATGATATTGCAACTGTAATTTTCATTTCTTTTATCCATTTATCCTTCTATCCATTTTTTCTTTTCTCATATAATAAATATCAGGCTTTATCCCCATTCTCTCTTCTCAAACCATCTTTCTGCACTTGTATTCGTGCCAGTGTGTATCTGATGAAACGATATCCCCAATCAAAACTTAAAGTAGTATCGTCTTGAAAAGACAATAAGACTAATATAACAGTTCAAACAAATTCTGAATGCAAATATCATAAACTATTTGTCTTACAGGTGTATCTTTCTATAAGAGCTTCTAATTTTCCCAGTGTCATCGACTAAAACATGGGTGTTACACAAGTGATCATCATCAGATCCTCTTTCTTGGAAGCCTCCAAGTGATAACCAGATGCTGGACTCTCTGCAGTATCAAAATATGCAATGTAGTTACATGATTAAAGAAATCTTCATCAGCAATGTGCTCAGAATGCAAAATCAGCGTGGACTTGAGCACATGTTTTAAGCGAGCCCTATTGGCAACAGTTTGGTCATCTTGGGGGAAAGAATATATAAAGGATACTCCATCTTTCCCATATTAATTACAAGGTAAGTGTATGCAGCTGGAAAAAAGCATTTAACTCTGCATTGAAAGCATAAAAGGACCATCAAAATGGGGGAAAAAAATTTATTAAAAGAACTTAATATAGGACAGAGGGAGTGCAAACAATCTTTCATACAACAAACAAAAATTAAAGAGCACCTTAAGGTGGCATCGTTTCCACAAATAACCATTGAAAATGTAGAGAAGAATCAGTAATAGCATGCATGACTTGCGAGAAAGGAACCCAGTTGCATGATTCGACATTGAAAAGAGTGAATGACTAGCAATCAAACTATTGAGCAGGCTGATATCGGATCAGTGAACAATCAAGGAACACCTTATTTTATTACCTTGCCAAACGGCAGTATTTTTGCATAATTGGTCCGTCCAAACATTCTGCAATTTTAACACTGTCCCCATCCTTAGCACCCACATAAGAAAACGCCTCAGGAAAGCAAAGTAATTTTGCATCAGCTGATGCTGCTTCCTTCACCGAACATTAGCCAGCAAAAGAACTCCTATGAATAATATATTGCAGATAACTGAACTAGCGTAAACTAAATTGTGGTTGGACATCAAGAAGTTACAGTCTCATGTTGCAATATTTCCAGCTTATTAGCCAATTAGTTCATAAGATCTGGCCCAACCACAGAAAACAATTTAAAAGAACCCTGTCATCAATTTAGTCCATGAAAATTCATTGGCATCCCTTTGATCCATAAAAATTTTTCATCACCAATTTCGTCTTAATTTTTTTATAAAAATTTTTAGTTTTAGTCCTGAGACTCATTCATGGAAATAGCAATATCAATATTTGTGTGTTAGCCCGTGGCAAATATTCGCATCTATTAGTCCACCTCGTCAATTCTGTGCTCCCAACAAAGTTAAGGTAAGACTAGAATGATATAGTTGGCCTAAAAGGTCAAAAAGACTATAATGATATGTTTTGCGACTAAATTTATGACAATCTCCCCCCCCCCCCCCCAAAAAAAAAAAAAGACACCATAAATAACTGACTCATCATAAAGGAGAGAAACCAAAGTCAGCAATTAATTACAAATCCCCAGTAAAACAAATTCTGAAACATAAAGTAAACCAAGATAAAAAGAGCGACAAAGAAGTGAAACTTATGAAGAACATGTGTTACTTTAACGAGTCGAGAGCAGGTGGCGAAATTAGCTGCAAGATCGTTAATGGAAGTCATCTGAGCAGCTGCGACTCGGACTGAGTTAGTGGCCATAGTTGATGACTCGCCGGCAACGGGAGCACGCGCGGTCAAGAAGGCGATGAGTTGGCGCTTATGGCCCAACGCCAATGGCAGAATCTGAGACTTGATGACTACACCAAACGAATGCACTGAAGCACTGAGCATGACAACAATTGATCTTTTCCCAGAGCTTCAGACGAAGTTCATTTTATTCAGTCCATATACGGTGCGTTTAAGCTTTATTTATTTATTTTTGCCAACGTTTAAGCTGCATCAATATACTATTTCTTATTTTTAGAATAATAATTAATTTGATACTAAATATAAGACTCTAATTTATTATATTTATTATTTATTTATTTTGCTCTCAATTAATTCCTATAATAGTACTTATTTTAAGGAGTTACTATTCAAATAAATAAATAACTTAAACAACTTTTTTAATCTTCTCAAATTAGTCAACTATGAGTTATATTAAGGATTGGATTTATTATTTTTTTCCTTTTTTTTCTTTTGTTAAAATCCAATATTAATACTAAATTAAAGAGAAAAATTGGTGGCAAATTATAATATTTACAACCAGAGTCGAGAAATCAGATTCGTAGCGGAATCAGTCATGAATGAATTTATATATTTTATACCATATACGCTTAAAAGAAAAGGAAGTAATTATCTGCAATAATACAAATAAATATTTAAATTCAAAAATATTTATATAATTAAAAGAAGACAATATTTATCAATATTCTATTATTCTCATCCAAAATCTATATTCTTATTTCTTTCTTTCTTTTTTGCTACGGCAGAGTATTCTTCTACTAGAGGTAATCCTATTTAAGACACTATCAGACACTAAATGTAAACACTTCTTCTAACGAAAATTCAAACATTGGTTCGTTACTTTAGAATATATACAAACATCTCTATTGGAAAAAAGAAGAAGAAGAAGAAGAATATATGCAAACATACATATTTCTTTGTGTTCATTTCTCTTTATTTCCCAATATTTATCAGCCATATATGTATATAAACTATAGCTTAGAAACATGAATTACTTTTTTTTCAAAAAAAAAAAAAAAACATGTCCAATTCTATCAGTTTTGATTGATTTGAGACGGATTCTACTAGTTTGTGGGTTACTTGATTTTCTTGAATGATTAGATTGAACATGATATACCCTTCAATGCTGGATCAGCTATTAAAAGAATTGTTTCAACTTAACTAGAGATTTTTAGTTTGAACCCTTAAAATCAAAAACATTAAACCTTGATAGAAGAAGTTCCACGTGAAACTGTCCCATATTTCTCCATATGGATTAGTACAATCTTATTCTCATAGTACTATCTCCGGTTCTTCTAAATATAAAAACTAGTTGGCAGTGTTAAATATAAGACCCTAATTCATTTTGTCTTTCAAATTTACAATATGTTTTTGAAAATATTCTTATTAATTGTAAAGTATTTTCACTGAAGCATAATTTTAATACACATGATTGAGTAATGCTGATTTAAGAAAATCAATACACATTTATTATAAATAACCCACTTAACTAATTTTTTTTTTCACTTTCCAAATTAATTATCTAACTCTTACAATAAGGACCAGATGTGGTACTACCTCCGATCCTAATTATAAGACCCAGTTGACTAATTTGAGGAAATTAAAGAAGTAAGTTAAGTTAGTTATTTGTAACAAATAAGTGTTGTCATTCCTAAAATATCCTTACTAATTAAGTGTGTTGGTTAGAACTATCATTATTAGAAAGACTATCTTGGGAAAAAATGCATAAATATGAGAGACAAAATAGATTGAGGTCTTATAATTAGAATCAAATTAAAAGTCAAACGGGGTCTTATATTAAGGACCGGACGTAGTATTATTTACAACCTGCTATAAATACAATATTTAGAAAATGACCGAACTGGTCAAACTTTATGATTGTATTTAATTCTTACCATTCACAAATTTTCAGGCGAATCTTCGTATTTTTAAGTTTTCACTGAAAGAGTACATAGCCCTCCCCAAAATTTGAATTGTTGGCAAATAATTTTCTTTGAGCTATAGAATTTGATATAAATTCCCTTCCCAAGTTATATAAATAACCTCCCTCATTTTATTTAATTTGTCGATGAATTTGCAGAGCAGATTACGTGCTCATCTTGATTTTACATGGTCCATATTTAATTTAATTTTTTCTTGTTTTAGATTTGTATTAGAATAGATATAAAATTTAAAATAAAATTAATTTTATAATTGACCCCTCCTTTAAAATAAATTTATTATTAAAAAATTTAGATTAAAAACTTTAAATATAAAACATCCATTTTGCGTGCTCGTCACAACTATGAACATGTGACGCGCATACCGAAAAGGATGTTTGTTGTAAAAATGTAAAAATGCAAAGGGTTTATCTTTCTACAACTACAATTTAAAACTTTGAGATGATAACTAAATAAACTTACAAAAATTCTGTGTCGAAATTGGAAAAACTATATTTTATTTTTATCTATTATGATATTTGTTGTTTTAATAGTGACTTTGTTTGGAACTTTTTATTTCTAGTTATTCTAACGGGGAACTTTAGTTTTTAATATATATAGTCTTCACTTATACTACTTCTGGTTCTAATTATAAAACTTTATTTGTAAACTACAAATGAGGTTTTATAATTAGAACCGAAAGTAGTATATATAAAAGAATAAATAGGTTTTTATTTTTAATAACAAGGCTTTTTGAGCTGGCCAGAATAGGCGTAGCATTCCCATTCGAGTTCAAGCTAGCTTAATATTCAAATATGGATTTATTTTATTTTTTGTTTTTATACTGTTAATTAATTAGTAATTGTTCATATTATTATCTCATTATTTGTGTTTTATTTGAACTCACGCCTAATGATGTAATTCTTTCGTGTTGATGTGATGCTAATATTGACATATGTAACAAAAACTAGACTTTTTTTTTCTGGACAAGTGACAAAAACTAGACTTTTAAGACTTGACTTTTTTAAAGATAGAAATTGACGTAGTATTTAAAAAATAAATAAAAATCCTAATAATTTGGGTTAGTTCAAATAAGCCTAACTTGTTTGAATTAGCATCTTTACATGTTCCTCTTCACTTGTTGTATCTATCATTGGATCAACTTCCAATTATTCAGATTCAATATATTATAATAATATTATATAACAAAACACATAAATAAATCTAATTTTTTTTTAAAATTTAATTCATATTAAATTTTAACAATTTAAATTTAGGTATACATATTTTTGTTATTTAATGTTATAATATTATAATATGTTAAATCTTAACTATTGGAAGTTGATTTGATGGCAGAGATAACAAGTAAAGAGGAAGTGGAGAGATGTAGGTAAAGATATCCTTTTTTCCATGTGTACATAATGATATTACTTTCAAGGGAAAATTTCAATTAGGGACTATAGTTGACAATTTATTTCAAACAGCCCCAAAACATTTTGAAATGTCATTGCAGGACTAAAGGAGCAAGCTAGAATAAATTTAAGAAAAGAAAAGACATTCTTGCCCCTTAAACTGTGACTCTGAAGCTCTTCCTCCTCTCTCTCTTTTAAAACTATCGATAATTCAAGCTCTCCTCTCTCTTACTCTCTGAAAAATCCGCATTGCATTGAGAGAGATCATTCATTGTTGTCGTTGTTCCGATAAGGAGAGCCTTGGTCGTCACCACTCATTCATTGTCATTGCTGTTCCGGTAAGGAGAGCCTTGGTCGTCACCACTCATTCGCTGTCGTCGCTGTTCCGGTAAGGAGAGCCTTGGCTGTCACCACTATTCTAGTAAGGAGTGCCTTCGCCGTCGGTGCTATTTTGGTAACAAAAGCCTTCGCTGTCGCCATAATCTCTCTCTCCTTCTCTCTGTATACGCGACCTCTTTCACTGCTTTTCCATTCAAAAATTTCTACATATAATACTGCAAAATCCCTCTTCATTTCTTCTATTGTAGATTTTATGGGTTTGGTTTAGGTTGTTGTGAAGTTCTGAACTGGTGAGAAATTTTTTTACTACTCAGATTTGAAATAAAATTATATAGTAGGTTGATTTTAGATTCACACCGTTGAGTGTTGAGAGTAAGTCTTTCCTTTCCTATTATGAATTGTATTATGAATTTGTAAATTCTACTTCTCCAGGAAAAAAAGAAGTGATTTGGTGCTGTGAAAACTCATATTTTGTTGTGAATTCGTAAATTCCTGTTGTAAATGTATACTGTGTTTAATTATTAAAAATTGATTGAAATTAATACTTGAATGATGTGCAGCAACGTATCATATATGGCTAGCAGCAGTGGAATTAAATGTTTGTGAGTTCATTGATTATTTTGAGTTTTTATTGTTGTACCTGTGCGAATGTATTGATGGTTTTTTATTTTTGTGCCATAGGAACAACACACTGTACTAAAGTCTGAGCTGTTGTGGTGGCTCATTACTTACAGAAAAAATATGAAGTCAGGCACTGTTGTGAAACTACTTCAACTGATAAAGACACAACCAAAAAAAAAAGCGATGACATAGCAATTGTTATATTTCTTCTGAGATGTAATTTAACCTACTTTAGAATGTGTTCAAATTTGTGTATAGATAATTTGTACAATTTTAGTTTTGGGGAACATATATTATAAGTATGTTTCATGTCAATTAATTCTAATCTTCTACTTATCCCCACTAGTTTATAAGTATATGATGTACCACTGACAAATGAAATTGGAGAATTTGCAATAAGGATACATTGCTTAATAACTTCATGTTTTAGAAACTAGATTGTGCTTCCCCCTGCGTTGCACGGGGAGCATTCACTTTCAATTTAATACTTAATTATATCAAATAATAAAACATCAATTATCTAAATTAATTTTTAAACTTCTGGCCAAAAAAATATAGTTTTGAAACTTTTATATTAAAATTCAGAAAGGGAGAATTATATTTAAGGAGGAAAGAAATAAATCAAATTTTCTCTATGTCCTCTTCGCCATACACTTATGACTAAGTGTCCACCCCCTTCTTTCCTCTCTGTATAAATGTGGAGCTTCGATTAAATCTATGCCTTTTCTCTTGTCTTTATTTCATCCTCTCATATTATACAACTCACACAACACACATATCTCCTTTCATTTTTATCTTCAGAGTTTGTATCAACTGGACAAAGA